AGTTATAAAATTAAAGAATTATGTTATTATCCAAACATTTTTCACGTGTCAGGAAAATTGAGCTGAGACTCGTATTAAATATCATGATTCGGCTACGTGCCGATATTTTGGGACCCACAGGGTTGTGTTGCTGTTGAATTTAATTATTTTAAAAATGTATATTTCATACTCAGTCATATTCATTCATTGTGAGTATAATTATGAGATTGGGGTTGCCTGCCTGCAGCCGGCTATATTGATTTTATATATATTATTACTATATGAAACGGGGTTTCCACCTGCAGCAGGCCTTATAGGCTTTATTATTACACGGATCGGGACTACCCGCCTGCAGTAGGCCATATCGGCTTTATATCACGCTTGGGCTGAAAGAACTCATCCGAGTCTGTACACACCCCCAGTGAGCGTAGATGATTATATATTCGGGATGGACTTCCCAGGGCATGGACTTGCCTTACTTATTTATATTGTGATGAATATTTCCCTCGACATGGATCTTGTCCGTATCATTTATATTTGGGGATAAAATACCCCAGGGCTGGATTGGCCTTATGCGGTACTAAGTGATTGACTGTCATTCGATGTGTGTATATATAGGGATGGAATATCTCTAGGCTGGATTGCCCATAAACAGTATCGAGTGACCGAATGATTAGTGACCAGTAGTACATGAGGTCTTTCCACTGAGATGTCACAATGCTCATATTATGCAGTATTGATCTATTTTGGTTGTACTGAGTTTAATTGTTGAACTTGAAAGCATGCCTAGATTTCTGTAATATTATTTATGTACCGGACTATACCTGCGGAGCTCGTCACTACTTTCAGCCTAGAGGTTAGTCTTGTTACTTATTGAGTTGGTTGTACTCATACTACATTCTGCACTTCGTGCGCAGATCCAGATGCTTTCGGATACGGCGACTGTTAGATCTCAGAGTGCTATCAGTTGGAGACTATCAAGGTAGCTGCCTCGCGTCCGTTGACCTTGACTCTCTTTCCTCCAATTATTATTATACTTTTCTATACTTTCAGACAATATTTTATCAGTCAGACTTTGTATTCATATTAGATGCTCATGTACTTGGTGACACCGGGTTTTGGGAGTGTTTATATCTATATTTGTGAGATTTCTTCCACTGAATTTAAATTTTATATTTTCAAATTTAAAAGATATGGTGTTTTATTGAGATTGTCGGCTTGCCTAGTATTGAGATAGATATCATCACGATATGTAAGATTTTGGGTCGTGATACTTTCTTTGCAATATTCTTCTTTATTGTTTCGTTACAATGACTATTTGTTTGGACGAACGACTATTTTTTTTTGGGACGAATGACTATTTAAGTTAATTTTTTTTTCCTTAGAGCTTATGAGTTGCTTTGATGACCTTACATGTATTGTATATATTTATTGCTAGGATATGATATAGCTCATAATTTAGTTATATTTTCAATTTCTCTCTTGCATAGGGGTATAGGGTTATCTGGGATTATTTTTTCAAGTTGGATTTTATATATATATATTCTAAAAATGGGAACCTCAAATGTCAAACTTGAATTACTAAATTGCCCATTAAATACTGAGTGACTATAATACCCTTAGAAAAATAAATAAAGTCCTCTTTCATAAACCAATACATTAACTAACATTCTATGCGTTGACATAAAAAATATTTCCTCCATTTTAATTTATGTGAACCGATTTTCTTTTTAGTCTGTGTAAAAAAGACTGATATTTTCTATATTTGGAAATAATTTACCTTTATGCAATGATTTATAGCCACACAAAATATACGTGCCTCATTTTACACCACAAGTTTAAAAGTCTTCTCTTTTTTCTTACATTTCAGGCTCAGTCAAATGGGTTCACACAAATTGAAACGGAGAGAGTAGGAAAAACTTGAAGAGTTGCAATTTCTAATTCAATATTTATTAAAGGCAATTGAATCTCTTTCATGGTGATTGGTGCCATTATTATACAATTCTAGAAATATGTACACTTGAGTAGTGATAGATAAAGTTCTAAATGACCTAAGCAAATGAAGAGACAATGGTATCAATATATCATTTATGTAGTTTAATGGCAGTAATTACCAAAAACTAGAGATCTACAATATTTAAGAAAAGTTTGATTGCCCAATATAATTGCTACTTCAGTTTATGCAGCTGCATGTCTTGAATAAGTAAGAATAGCCTGCCTATTTCTTCATTTTTGCAACATACATATACTAATTGAGATCATTGGGTTCAAGAGTTAAGGTTTTGTTTGAGGTAAAACAGATTTACGTATTTTTATATTATTTACTTTGCTGTCCTTTTCACCCAATATATAACGTAGGATGCATAGAAAATATATGTTTAATGAGCACAGTTTTCTTAGTTAAAATACATTTTTAGAACTGAATCGCACCAAGGCTTTTCACCATCGCACATATTATTGTTCTTCTAAACATCGACCAATATATTGCAAAATATAATTGTTCACCTTCGCATGTTCAGATTATATTTAGTTGTTTCGATTACTCGAATGAAATTATTTCATGATTTTGAGCTTGCACATCTAAATCTTTCCGTTTTTTTTTTGTAACGGCCAGATACATATTTTAACAATATATGTGATTCTTAAAAATTGATATCAATTCATAATATACACGTACAACACACGTGACTAAAAACTAGCGGTAAAATAAGAGTAAAAGTTTACTGGCATCCGATTTTTACACTAACCCAAGAGAAAACATAACATGACCTCACATACACTATATCACTAAACCATAGTTAATTAATTTAGTACCTATCATAATAAATGAGTGTGATTTGGTATGAATACCGCATGCTAGTAGGTTTTTTCTCGTCCTTTAAACATTTGAATGTGGTCATGCATGAATAAACTAAGGTTGTTTATGGTGAAAAGCAACTTTACGAGCTCATAATTAATCTTTAATCGTGATATTAGATTGTTGATTTTATTTTCCAGTTATCCAAATAGGTCTCCTGTAAACATTTTTTTGAAGCTCTTATTGTAACTTAGGTTGATTTTAAGAAACTTGACTGGGTAACTTTTGTTTGTTTCAATGGATACAAATTAAGTTCACTGGTACCTTTAAATTCCTTTTGCACTATTAATGCATAAATTTTAAATCTAGAAAAAAGAAATTAGAGAACACATTGCTGTATGTTCCCTCTAACATGAGAAACGTCAAGTTACTTTTCAAAGTTTTACACATTAAAAAAAAAGTATTTTTGCTAGCTTTCGCTCTTCTTCTTTTTGCGTTCCCTTTTGAACTTATAAAACGTCACGTCTGATTTAAATTACAAAACCATCCATATAAGGAGAGTAATTACAAAAATTATGCAAATAGTAAAACCTAAGTGCTTATAAGGTGAATACAAAAACCTTAACGTCTTTATAATCTCTATTTTGGGCATTATACCTCAATTTTAATGAATCTTACTTGAGGGTCAATTTTTTTTACAAAAATTATGCAAATAGTAAAACCTAAGTGCTTATAAGGTGAATACAAAAACCTTAACGTCTTTATAATCTCTATTTTGGGCATTATACCTCAATTTTAATGAATCTTACTTGAGGGTCAATTTTTTTTTTTATAACTTTATTGGAAATGGTCAATTGAGAGGGGAAACAAAGAGAGGATATTTAAAATTAATGAAAAAAAAAAGAAAAGGAAGAGCTTGTCCGTTAGAAAATTAGAGCAGTTTTAGACATTGCGATCAGGTTAAATACTTGAACCCCAATGTTTAGGCGTAGGGGTGTACATGGATCGGGTTGGTTCGGTTTTATCAACACCAAACCAAACCAACTATATCGGTTTGGATTGGTTCGATTTTGTCGGGTTTTTCGGGATTTTGGGTATTTTGTTACTTAAATATTATTTCAATCTTATTTTGTTAAATATTTGATAAGTAAATATATATTTAGTAAAAATATAATAAATCAACAAATATATTATCGATTAAAATATTCTTATGGGAGAATTCTGTTAGTAACACATAATAGTTATTTTTTTAGTCGTCTAACAATAATTTTTCGTTGATGTACACTTTCAGGTTAACCGAATTTAATAATTAAACATAAAAATCAATATGATACATAAATATTAATAATCACTTCACATTCAAAAAAGATATAAGAATTTAATAGATCTTAAACATATAATATGAATATGGAAGAACAAAGAGAGACGCATTTCAGTAACACTTGATAAGAAAGTGATCATACAAACCATTATTTAAGGTCAATAAATATGGAGCACTTCATATTCTATTAAAATTTATATCCCGCAAGAGAATCCCAAATATTTCTAAATATTTTTTAAAGAAAATACTATATAAAATCTTAAAAGAATATATAAAGATTATATATTTATATGTCGGGTTGGTTCGAAATTTTTTTACTCAATACCTAATCAAGTCGGGTTTTTTAATCGATTTGGTTTGACTTTTCGGTTCGATTCGGTGCGATTTTTCGATTCGTTTCGTACACCCCTAGTTTAGGCTAGGCGTATCCCCAGCTGGGAAACTGATGTTTAAGAAGGGTTCCTCCATTGTAATGTCAACTGCACAGTTTTATCTTCTAACCAACCAATGTGATTTTCATACAATTGCTGTGCCATAAAAAACTGTGGCCTTATTTACAACTTGTTTGAATGAGTTACATATCATTTTTTAAAGTATCGTATAGTTTTTAATGAATAAAATATTTGAATAGATCGTATCATTTTTCATAGTTTCACAATGTCAATACACCAACAATTTAAAAAATAAGTGTACAATATTTTTTAATTTTTAAAAAGTAGAATATGTGGTAGAGTACAACAACCCAGTGAGTTCCTATGAATGGGGTCTGGGGAGGATCAGATGGACGTAATCTTACCCCTACCCTAGAATGAGGTAGAGTAATTATTAAAAATGGTAGAGCAAAAAGTAATATAGAATTATAGTAACGGCAAGATGAGAAAAACAACAATAACGACACGACCACACAGAATCGATCGTTACATAAAGGGGTTTTTACATCGTTATGTAACAACGGATTTAACGATGCGATATAATCAAAATTTAAATAACAATCAAAACAAACATTGTATTTTATGTAACAATACAATAAATACAATACAATAGGTAACAACCATCCAAACAAGAAATCTAATTTTGATAGACTACAAAAATATACACCAGAACTTAAATTTAAACAAGCCTGTCAGGTATTTAAGCTCCTCCCTTGTTCGGTTTAATCAAATCAAGCGGTTTGCTCCTCCTCGAGTTCCATTTTGTATATTGTATATTCCCTCTCAAATAACAAAAACTCCTGTATGAAAAGTGAGCTTGAACTTTAGTAGCAAAATCTAATTATTGAACAACAAATCAAATTAACCGACTAACAAGACAACAAATCTACTTTATCAAAAGACCAAGACAACAAATATATTAATGCTACAAATCCAACAAATATAACTGATGAGACTGTGTCCAACCTAACAGACATTCAGTTGATAGGAAAACTCTATTATCTCTCTTCCTGTGCATAAAGGGTACAAGCCAAACAGTCATACCTGCAATTGACGCTGACTGAAGAGACGAATGAATCCAGTTTCAGGATTTGTGACAAGGTTGATCAACTCATCATGGCTATTAGGTGGATTACCAGACCCGACAAGCGACACACAGACCTAAAAATGAGTCCAACAGATCACAACTGAGTGTACAAACAGACACGTCCTTGAAGTTTTTGCTTCTTTTCAAATTTTCAGAATTGTCAAATAAGATTTTAGGAATTTTGCTCTAGGTGATGGCCTACACGCAATACTGTAAATAATTAGAAATTATGAATTCCAATAGCAAGCTCACCTGCATGCACCGCAGAACAACTTCAGGGATGCAACACCTACGACAAAGACCATGCACTATGTAGGTTGCAGGGCCTTCAATAGAACCATCACTGCCAGAATACCAAGCGTCTAATCGAGAGATTTCCAATGTAACTCCAGCTTGAAAGCGAATAAGCTCCCCTGTGACAAAGAACGAGGTAATTTATGAAGATAAAGGTAATATATAAAAGAGAAAAAGAAATAAGGCAATGAGCTTCAGCAGAATTCCCATCTTTCACATCATGCCAACTAGCACAACAAATAATACTTTAGCATACCAAAGTAACAAATAATACTTTAGCATATATAACCAACATACCTCCTGCAAAACTACTTTTGACATTGCAAGCAACGGAAAAAACTTCTTTTCTAGGGTAATCTGATATTTCAGTGCTCATCCACATACAGATGGTTAATATCTAATATTCCATTGCTCATCCATAAAATACCCTTCTTTTCAATTTTATATTTTTAAATTCAATATTTTTTCCATTTGGCCCACCAAGCCGGCCCAGCCTAGCCTCAGTCAAGCCTCAAGGGCCGGCAGGCTTACTTGGGCCAGTCTAAAAGGCCTCATTCTTAAATGAGCTTCAAAGATCTTAGCCAACTCTATCAAATAACGGGCAAGGTTGGGCTAAGATTTTTGGTGGACTTTGTTTTTGTTTTTTTTTTCTTTTCTTTTTGTTGACAACATTGGTGCCCACTGCCCAGGCCAATTTCCGTGCACCTCGAGTATTCCACTAGGTATCTGCTACCTCCCACCTACACAAGTACCCGGTAATTTTGCACACCAAAACTTAGGCAGATGAGAAGAAATCACCTATTATTTTTTGTCTCTGTGGGGATTTGAACCATGATCTCCAAGGTTTGCACTCAGTTCAACGTGATGGACTTTGTTATTTAAGTAACTATGTCAATTTTTAAAGAGATACTAAAACAACAAAATGGGATAGAGGAAGGAGGAAGCAGCAAGTAAGCTTAGGTGAAATGACAATGTAAACACGGAAAGCGATAAAAATATTTGTTGAAAAAGAAAAGTTAAACAAAAATTGGGAAAAAGAATAAGAATAAAGAATATGATACCCGAAAACTAATCGATCACCACGAATGAAGACGAGGCTAACACAGTTTTATTTCAAGGCCTAAGATGCACAGCCCCAAACTAATGAGACTAACTAATGGAAAACGGAAGAAAAAGATGGAATGCAAAACAATGCCACATAACAAGCCATATTTAAAAGCACACAATAGTTTGCAGTCTTAAGATAATCTGGCCTTAAAAGGAGCTCCAAGAAGACAATTATATCAACTGGAGGCCTAGGAAACTGGGAGAAGGCTAATCTAAAAACAAACTCACCAACTAGAGAATCTCATTACCTTTGAAGCCAGCAGCAAGCATTGCGGCAAGAATACCACCATCATGGAACTGATGTGACCCAAGACCATCCTTTTCTGTTGCCAAGCAGCGTAATACAACCTCGACACAATAGTTGTCTCTGGATGATATGGAGACGCTCACCTGCACGACCATCATGGCAATCGCCAACATTACTATGTTTATATAGAAGGTCGAAGTCCTCCTAAAGCATAACCTTTTGCATTGAATCCTGTTTAATGTAGAGTTGATTTTAATAATTTGTTTCAGACAGGAAAGCCTAATAAGGCTAGAGACCCATTACAGAGGTTACGAGCCCTACGACTGGATGAGCATGTGTACTAACTATTAACTCTTATTTTAGTTAACCTTCTGCTTTCTAAATCTCAGTGTATGTACTTCCATGTTTTATATAACCCATTATACCAATAGACCATTGCCGCAGACTAATGTACTTATTCATGTTTAGGTACATTTTCTAGCTAGAATGCTTATTCTGACTACACCTTTTTTGGCACTGATATCTTGGCAGGGAGGTTACCATTTTAAAGCTACCATACCTTGTATACTTTTGATAGATATCTTGATCAATAGAGAAATAGACCAACGCAGTCCAAGTATAATTAAAAGTTAGACACCACAAGAAAGAGAGGAGGCTCATGTATTGAACATGTCCTCTGAGGACCAGTACAACATCAATTACAACTTCCGCATTTGACTCGACAAAAAATTAGCATACCATTATCTGGCAATTTAATACTTCTTCCTCACTGACTGAAGAGTAAAGGGCACTCATTAACGTTGTGCACAAGGTGGCGTCGGGCGCCAAACAATCACCAGATGATGAACAAAGCATCGCAGTAGCATGCAACTCGAGGAACACAGGCTCATCACTTTCCAAGATGTGATCTTCAGTTGGAACTAACCAGGGATTCTCTTCCCCTAAGACACATATTTAGCACATTAACTTTCTGGAAGCCCAACATTCAATTATATAAGGTCATATACTTGAGAAGAAAACCAACGAGAGCGGTAGGTGAAAAAAATGAAAGGCAAGGCAAGGGGTAGGCGAATCATACTGAGAAAGCAATATATCTTCTAAGACTAGACATCTTCTGAACAATGTTTTCTCACATAGGTTTCGTTCACTCACGTTGTAGAAGCAAGAGTGATGTATCAAGAGTTTCTCTAGCAGCTATAACTTCATTCTGCTTTTCCTCATCTGAGAGTTCAACTGGTGAAATTTCTGCATTCTCTAGCTCAACCTTTAACCAGTTGCGATAAGTTGCATCACATGAATAGAACTCACTCTGATTGGGCAAAAACAAAATATTACAATTATAACTTCTACAAAATTTAAGATATAACAAGCAAACCAAAGGCGTATCCATATCTTCTTTAGAAGTTTCAAAAAGCGTACCCAGTCCTGGAACTCCTTTAACTTCTCCGAGAACTCATGACTCTCAATGGAAACAAGATCATCTGAGAGTTGTTTCAATGGCTCTGCCAGTAAACTGAGTAAAGTATGAGCCCCGACCGGCATTGCTGGAACCCTCCACATTGAGATAAGGGCAAATTCCCGGAACAGTACATTGCTGTGGAAGTAGTTGCAAGTCAATCCCATGATCATTTGAGTCACCTCAAGGAACATAAAATTAAAAAGAAACGAGAAGCAAAAACTGACCTGTGCGTCAATGCCCGGAAAAGAAGTTTCATACTGACGGACCTAGAATTATTGACTGTTGAAGGAGGTGTAAAGCAGAGCCACTGAATTACTAAAGCTTTCTGAAGGCTCTGTAATCGATGCTGCTCTGCAACATCTGTTTCATTATCATATTTCCCAACTCCAATTTCTCGAGACCTTGAAAGAACCCTGTTTAAAATAATTATAATCCAACGTCAAGTCCTTCGAAAGAACTCAATTTTGCATGTTTTCAAAATTGTGAAATATGTGTTAAGAAATAAAGGAACCTTTCGATGATCTCCTCAAAACTGCCCTTTGAATCATCTTCTGGAGCAAATGGCAAGTATTCAATAGCAGAAAGGAATATCTTATACCTGACGTGAACGCTGTCAACAATGGAAAAGCCATTAAAACTAGTCTAAACCAAAACATCTGACCAAGATCCTAGTAATGATAAAGTAGAATGAACTGTTCCTGAGTCATAAATAAGAACTCCCACAGTTTATGTAGGAACGTGTTGCATGAAGTAACAACTTACATAGCTCAATTTTATTTTTTAACCTGGATAGCAAGGATACAATCCACCGAATTAACTATAGTTATAATCAAAATAATTCCCACTCACCCTAAAAGGAAGGATGATAGTAGAAGGAATAAACAAAAGAAGAAACCATTAGACTAATGTATCATAGGCCCTAATTTTGCACTGAAAATTACTTCCATATAAACAAGCTGTATTCATACTCATTTTCCAACTTTTGGTCTCTGCATTAGAGAATGTTTCCCGAGAATGTAAATTTTTTAATTAAAGAAACCACTTAAGCGACAAGTTTAGAGGGGGAAGGACATCAATTTCTGAAATGACCAACAAAAGCTTTAAACCAGCTAGTCATTATGCATCCAATAGCATGCATGGTATGAAAAACTACTACTAATTAGTTGACATTCCTGCCAAAGTTAACAAAGGAAGATTCAGCACCAACTCATTGACTATAACACGTTGAGATTATATGAAAGATAAAAGAAGGCATTTCTCAAGAAGTTCTGTTCCAAGTTCCAACACACAAAAAAGCAAAGAAACCCCTTACACTGACCATGCACACACCCAGCAAGCGTGCAAGGGGAACATAAGGACGAGAAGAGGGGAGAAAGTCAGATACAAAGCATGCGTTATGGCAACAACAAACACTGACCAATATATCATAGCCTGGGGCTTTTATAGTAAGTTGTCGCCAGACTTCCTGACCTAAAGTCTATATATGAACACCAGAAGTTTAAGATCACCTGCACTCTTATGCTTCTTAGTTAGTTGTTACCAGGCGCATCCCTTCGGAATTAGTAAGAGAAGGAGCAAACTAAGGCCAAATTCATAATGAGTCAACGTATACTTTTGCAATAATCAATAGTTTATTTTATTGGTCAACTTTCCTTGACATCCCACTTCACCTGTGTAAGTTCATCCAATTTTTGAATAATTGGCCCCAAAGTACGAAGAAGATGGAAGTTTACCAGTACTAAACAAAAGCCTGCCAATGCAAACAGATTTTTTAACAAGGCAGAAAATGTCCTCCACAACAGCATAGTAAAGTTAAGGCATCTACAACACCCTAGGCACAAAAGGTTGAACTGCAACCCACTAAGAATTTGTCTCTGAAGATTAAGTTTATATGCTTATGGCTTTTTGGCTATTAGGTGTACTCTTCAGGATGTCAAAGATGAAAATAGCTTGGTAGATTTAATTGACTCACTACAGGGATCGGAATTTCACAGAAAGGAATCCTTTCTTTTTGTTTTTGTGTAGGAGTACTAGCACCATCTTAGTGCTAGATTTTTTTCTATCAATAAAAATCCATTACTTACCTGTTCAAAAAACAAAAACAAAAAGAATTTGTCACCAACGAAAGTCAAATACCAAAGAATTTGTCACCAACGAAAGTCAAACACAAAGGATCATAATACTTTGTTTATAACCATGGTCCCGGCCAGCAGTCAGCTTGCACGCACCTCGACAAATTCCAAAGGGGAAAGGGTCATAATACTTAATAGCACACATTTTAGTACCTAAACCACACGATGGGTATTTTATGCCATAACTCATAAGCATGCCCATCAAATGAAAACTACGAAATTCCCTATCGAAAGAATAAAATAAAATGGATCACCAACAACCAAAAAAGGAAATAAAGAGGAAATAAAGAGAAACAAAAGTCAACATTACATGGGTTTTACCTGCTATTTAGCCTTAACTCCATCATATGCACAAAGAGATCGATACAGCGATGACGAGCTAACTGAGAAGCATAAATCCCAATCAACTCTTCATGTTGCTTTGTAAAAAGAAACATAGTATACCTGCAATTGCAGTTCAGACTTCAGAAGCCAACACAACCCAATAAAATAACAGACACTGGATATTGGACGATACATTTGAAAATAACAGTGAAAATAGTGCATTATTACTTTGATCTATCATGGGAATGGAGCAGAAAAATTTGATACCATGAAAAAGAAAATCGACAGATGAAGACATTAATTCTCCATGAAACTTGTGACGAATTGCAAATCCCAATCAAGAACAAACACAAACAACCAATATATATGAGTCGTATACCAAAAAGTAGAGAACCTACATCAAGATATGATTCTCTACAAAGACACCAAATCAATTATACAAACGGGGATCTCATAGGTACATCAAAAAAACAAACACAAGTGGATATTCCTTAAATGGACAAAATCATTTTCAATGCCTCCCACCGCTCTCCTTCCATGCAACCTACATAAGAGCTAGCAGGGCAACCTCCCATGCCCTTGGTCTTCTTTCTAGCTTTTAAGAGACCAAATGTGTAGCATATCTCTTATTGTACCTACATCACCCTTTATATTCCGAAACAATTCAAAATCACCCTTACAAACCAGGGGCCACCTTGCACTGCAACAGAAGGTGATAAAAGTCTACGTCCGAATATTTGCATGTATAGCACCAATAGACATAGGTCACAATTATCCACCTCAGATTCTTCACTGTCAGTATCGTTCCCTTCCAGGACAACTTATTAATCCATACCTGTAAATGTAGGAAACTTGTCTCCTCTCTCACCAACGATTTCTGGCAGTACAATTGGTGTTGTTAAAGGCTTGCTTAAGCCTTGAAGCTTAGGTGCAAAACAGACTGAGCGAGCCGCTTGGCTTATCCTTTAGTTCAGTCACCAAGGCGTTAAGGTGCACATCTCATTACTAATAGACATTGTGCTGAATAGACGACAACAACTAATAAATATTTCACTTTATTGTAATTTCTAAAGTCCCTTTGTGTTATTTATGCTTATAATAGTATTCTTGAATCACATTTTTTTCCTTCATTTGGACCTTTCTTCATTAAAGCCCCTACTGTATTTACATTTTGCTCTAAAAGCATCAATGGACCCCAATGTTTTTTTGCGCTTTTTATATTTGATGTATGATTTGACCATGAAAGAAACTATTTCTCCTCAACCCGTACCTCCATGAATCCAGCGTAGAAGGCAATATGATCTGCTTGTAGAGTGCTCCAACTAAATTTGGAACTCCCCATCTCCCAGTCTCATAGATTCCTCCAAAACCGAGATCCCCGAAATATACCTCCCTCTTGCACCCTTCAGATATGTTGGATTGTCATCTCTCCCTGGTTTAATACTCTATATACGTGAGGAAAGGAGGCCCTCAGCACCTCAAATCTGTGGTTCCAAAAGCTAATTCTATTGTCAACCCCGACCCTAAAAATGATATGCCCGCTAAAGTCTTCCCCCCTTCATGATACTCCTTCACAAGCCACAACCAAATGGCATTGTGATATTTCAAGTCCTCCACCCCTCTTCCGTTGTGTCGAACCTCTCTGCTACCACCTCTTTCCATAAAGCATACTCCATCTCGAATCTCCACAACCATTTCCATAGCTTTCTTGAACACCTGAAGTTTTTCACTCCTAGCCACGCATTTTCTCGGTGTCGTGTCTGCCTACCACTTTACTAAGTGGAACTTTCTGGTACCATGCCCAAAGGATTAAGAATGAAGATATTGATTTCTGAAATAAAGTTGCATCACATTTTATTTCTACTTCAATGTTCCATGAGAGGATAAGCACATTGAAGTTGATTCTTCTTTTAATCAGTCACATTAAAGTTGATTCTCATTGTTCGTGAAAAACCACAATCCAGATGCATCTATTCCAATTTTATTTGTTCTGTGACCAGTTGGAAGATACATTCATTCACCAAGGCACTAGGGGGGACAAAAGATAAAGTATATTTGTAGTGAACTAGTTGTGTATGATCTATGTAGTCTAACTTGATTGAAAGTGTACGAACGTGTCCAGTTTCATGCATACAAATTTAATCGCATTATACTTTGCAATTAGGCAATTACTTATTGAAGGCAACTACAGCTAAATAATTCAAAAGGACACCTCACAATCAGTACATAGCATAGATATCGTAGACAAAGCAGTACATACCATAGATAGATAAAGGTTGATAGGCTAACAGTCATGCATTTTCAAGCTTTTAGTTTTCTCCTTAATTTTCGTGTGTACCTCAAATCAAGTAAGATAAGCTATAGTGCAAATTTGTACTGATTTTTCTACCAACATTACATTAGATGCTATAACCAGTGGAATTATGGCTATGTTCTCCAAACTCTCAATTTGAAGAAAAATATGAGATATATGAAAAGAGCATCAATTGATTCTCCAGATGCCTTCTACATTTACCAATACCACCAAAAAAAGAACATGCTACGTAATACTTACATGTGAAGAATGAGGTCACCAACTGTCAGTAATTTCTCTCTAAACTCATCCTTCATTTGATCTTCGAGCAAGTATCGGAGCACAAGCACTAAGTGTGCACCAAGGCGCATCATTTGTGGGTCACCATGAGGTCTAAGCAAAAGAAAATGTGCATTCAGCATAAATCACATCCAACATAAAGCTTAATCTCCAAGAATAACAAGTACTTATGCATATTGTGGACTAGTCTATTACTAAACACATCATGTATAGATACATCATTCATGTAATTCTGACTATCAAGGACACAAAGATTACTATGTACCAGGAACCAAAAACAACAAAAGTACCCTCTAGAGGCCTTATCCCTTGGACAACTGACATCAAAAAATCTAACATGATAAAGCTGATAGAGGGGTAATCAGTTTGTGAAGTGTTTGTAAAATTTTATGATGAGGCGGTCACGCACAATTCAACACAGTGCTAACATAGGCAGAAGTCTCAGTTTTGAATCTTACTACCGAACTTCCACATGTTAGACTTAAGGAAAAGAATGAGACCCACACGGAAAGAGGCGTGTTAGGAAGTACTTAAATAAATGTGTCCCTATTCTAACAAATTAAACGTTTTAATGAGGTAAAACAATTCAACAACGTTAAATACTATTTAGAAGCTTTACAAAGACAATAAGAATCTCAAAATACTGCAGAATAAACCTAATTTTTTTGTGTATGTGCAACAAAGAGCCTCAGCCCATGAAGAAGTTTACAATAAAGTGTGAAAAGTTTACTTACTTGAAGAAGGTTGCATCATCTTCAGAAGGCGATATCCAAGACCATATGACGTCCAGCAAACTTGGTATGTCTCCTAACATAAGGTTCATCTGTTCAAAAGCTTTGGTTAAAGCTGCAGAACAGATATAGAATATATAATACTTTTAAGATGAAACTGGTACTCAGCTAATACACGCTCGCAGTAACTTAGAATGGGACCAAGGAGAAGGACACGATGAAAGACACTCTACTCAAACTCTCAAAATTATCACCTACCCAAGCAACTATATACAGAAGGAAAAAAGGGGCAGCCGGGTGCACGAAGCATCCCGCATTCACGCAGGATGCGGGGAAGGGCCGCACCACAAGGGGTGTGATGTAGGCAACCTCTGATTCCACGGCTCGAACCCGTGACCTATAGGTAACATGGAGACAGCTTTACCATGGCACCAAGGCTCTCATTCTATATACAAACTGTTACGGCAAAGAAAATGGAAGGAACCAGGCTTGTCTGAGAGTGACACAAGACCAAGTGAGGGAGAGATCTGAAATACCAGATTTTATGGTTGACAAAGCTATGGGCTGAGCTGCATTACACAAACATACATTTGATACATATGCGTGGGTAAAGTCGTGAGAGGACTAACACCAAAATATGATATCCATGGATGTGGAAGGTAGCAAGCAACGGTAGCCTATTTATCCTTCTAAAGCATCATTCGAAATTAATTAAACCATAAGACAAAACAGGCCAACTTTCACAGACAGTGCTTCTTTGACATTCAATTCAGCAGACTGTAAAACAGATCATGGAACACCACATAGTATTTAATAGTTACGTTTTGTAGCATCTGCAGGCAAAGCATTTTATTGTGCTACACGGTCTCTCATTGAGGGTGCATAGCAAAGACTTGCATTTAACATAAACTAGGTTTCTGGAATTAAGTTGTGTGATGCAAATGTTTGTGCGTATAGACCCACCACATTTAAAATATCTGGTGAGATGTCTCTCATCATTTTTTTTTTGGGGGGGGGGGGACTAAATTTTCAATAGATCAAACGGACTAAATAGAGACTAACAGAGATTACTCTTCTAAAGAAAAAGTCAAAAGGTTGAGAGGCGATACAGGAACATGAGCCTATACCTCAATTTGTCTCTGCTGCTCCTTGCACGATCGAGCAACAATTTCATGCACCGTATCACTAGATTACAGAGAATTTTAATTTATTTTAGATAGGAAATACAAAAGAAAAATCTGGAGCGGAACCGGACTGCATGAATACCTTGAATGGAGTTTCTGGAGAAGGGCAGAGAGGTGCCTAGGTTGCTGATTCACAACTTGAAGTGGCCAACTATCTGGTCCAGCAGTTGGCTGAGAAACACCATTTACAAATTCTGGGCTTCTATTAATTGCTTCTTCAAAATTCTTGAAGTGATCCCCTTCACCTGGCTGTAGGCGGGTTAATTCCACATCGACCTGGAAATCAAGCCATGATTTGGCCATGGCCCAGCAAGCAGACTGGAACAAGATAAAATTGATTTCAATATCACGAACGACACGAGAAATCAAAGAAGTGGCTGAAGGAAAAACAAAGAGAAGAGGAAACCAAGCTCCATACAAATGCAGCAAATGGTTAGAAATAAGTACATCCTTTTGTTGGTTCAATTCATTAGCTAGCTGTTATGTTACTAAAGCTTGCACATTGCTACTAACTGAACGCCATAAGAGTATCAAGCACATACAGATTTATTATCACTTTATTAATAAGATATATTCTAGACGTATCTCCACTAGTTTTGTTGGTTCAATTCAATCAAGCAGATACATCACCAAAGCACTTGAAGCAAACTTGGGACATATTATCTATAATCTACAATTCAGGAGTGTGTTAGCATATGCCTAGGTTTAAACATATAAAATGGGCCAGGTCGCAATGATGGACCAGGACCATAGTACCATACTTCTACATATTTCTTAAGAAAATATGTAATTCAGTTTATAAAATCTTATGTCACATTTTTACATCTCATTTTGATCAAGTAATAAATTTATAGAATTTGGAAGAAAAAACACCTATATACAACTGTATAGGAATACAACTTTCCATTCATAATTTCTTTGTCAATTTTTCTTTTTTTGAAATTTATTTCAGAGTGAATAAAAATTGAGGAACAAAACAAATACGATTATTTGAGGAATTAAATTAATATTGAGAAGAAAAAGTAAAGGGCAGGGCCAACCAGAATACCAGATAACCGGTGAATATGCCTCCCCAAGGGGTTAGGGTCTAGTTTCCCTTGACAAAGCATCCCAATGTTAAAGTTTTTAGCCACCCATGGACTATGTGCCAGTTTCTTAGGGGCGTATAGATCTATCCCCTTTTCATGCATATCTAGAATAGATTATATGTGTGTAGGTTCATTCTACAGAGCATTCATACGATCATGCAATCGTTAGCAGCTACCATAATTAGAGAATATTTTTCTGGTAAGGTAAATAATTTTATTAACAGTTGGGGGAAACCGCGTATACCAAAAAGAGAACCTACACCAAAATATGGTTCTCCACAAAAGAGACCAATTCCTCTATACAAATAAGGACCTCGTGACTAAAAAGAAACCAAAAGACTACTTTGAAATTTTACAAAATCTTGTTCCACCCCTTCAAATGCTCTCCTATCTCTCTCTTTCCAAATAACCCACATGATTGCGGGAGCAACAGCCCATGCCCTTAGACTTCTCTCCCCTCTCCTGTGAGGCCAACTTTGTAATGCATCCTTCACTGTACCCGGCATCACCAATTGCATCCCAAACAAATTAAGGACCACCCTCCACAACCGATTAGCCACTTGATAATGCAATAGAAGATAACATCTTCGCCCGACATCACAAGTTATAATTAGAAAATATATCAAAGAAATTGAATGATCCGACAATCATATTGAAGGCCCTTTGTCCCACTCTCAATGTCCCCTTCTAGGAGAAGCTTTAAGAAATGACAGATATGACCAGAATCTGTATAATATGCAAGACTAGCAAAGTTTCTAGGAGAGAAACAATCAACATGTAGCAGTATTTTCAATCCAAAGCTTACCGTGCATTCAGTATTGCAGATTAAAGAACAGAAAGTACTGCATTACGAAATGGACAAATAACAGGAATCTTATACCTCCCAATCCGTACATGTTGGAAGAATGCGTTTCAAGTTACTGCACTGGGTTGCATATACTGCTGCTTCATATTTTCCGCCATCTTGATCTGCAATTTTCTTCAATGTAGAGAAGAAAACAAGTTTCATCAGTTCAAATGCAACACAACCACATCAACACATCCATAGATGGAGAACATGCGCTCTCTAACAAAATCATGACGCAAAAGGCATAACAGAGACAGATATCCGTAAACCCAATGTCTCTTGCATAATAAAATAATTATTTTTGGATGAGAAGAAAGCTAGATACTGAACAGGAAAACCTCGTCACTTTAACCCTATTCCTTACCTCTGAAGCACAATAGCAAGCCCATTTCCAGAGACGCCAATGATGACCGATTCCACTTTCCAGCTCAATGGCCTGTAAGGTTCTGTTCTTGCCATTTCTTACCAGGGCTTCAATGGACGGGAACTGATCAAACCCTCCAAATGGAGATAGTGTTGCAGCTCTCCATGACTGTCAAGTCAATGTTTTTTATCAGACTAAAGGATATGGTGTCATACTTCCCTAAAAGATTGGCATACCTGTCCAGCAGACCGGCAGAGGCTGCATGCTTCTTCCAGTCTCCCTGCCCTTAACAGAGTCCAGACATCCTCCAGAAGAGATTCATCTTGTTTCTATGGGTACAAGAAGTTTTTCAATGCAAAAAGAGCATCACATGCCATCAGTTAATGAGATATCTAGGCATCATGAAAAACCCACCAATATGAACTCCCTCTAATGTTGGCTACAAAGATCATGGTTTTCCATTTCTTGTTCTCCACCCTCCCCCCACGTCCCCATTCTCACGTAATTAACCAATAAAGAAAACAGGGAAACCAGAGACACTTAATAAACTATGCACAAATCGGAAAGGACTGCCAAGAATGAACTAAGTGAAGATAGGCATAATGCAGCTGAAAGAGGGTATGAGCTTCCCAGGAGAAAGAAGCTGAAGCATGGTGGTTTCTGCAATATGTAAATGTACGTCTACAGTGATATGATCAAAGGAAGAGAGAAGGTCTTGTAATAATCCTGACATCTAGAGATAGCTTTTCTGTCAATAACAAAATTTAACAAATTTTCACTATCCAAAAAATCATCCAGGAGGAGATAGACATGGAGACACATATGCAAATAATTAAGTCAATTTCTTTGCAAGAGCATACTTTGTCATCAGGTAATTGCAGAGCATGTTCACGCGTAGGAGCATCAAAGTCCAAGTGATTAATTGTCTTTGGATTTGAAACACCTTTCTTCAGGAACCGTTGAGTATGATGCCAAATTCCAGAGCTAGGGAGATAGGTGCCAACATGAGAGCCACGCACCTGCAAAGGTAAATAAGCATAATTAGAAACAATCACCACTACAACATTTCATGAAAAAAGAAGAGTAAAAATAAGTTAACTGTAGCAATTAGACATGGTACTGAAGTTATGAGCAGTCTTCCCATTAAAATTTTGGTGTTTATGCTAGATAATGAAACAAACAAATAAACCATCAAACTCATCTCTAGCACACACTATGATTCCAGCAGTGCAAACAGGTGAAAAAAGTAACCTCCCTTAGTTCCAAAAGAGAATGTAGCAAGAGAAAAAAATAAGAGATTTTGAAACTTCTGTAGCAATTACAGATAACCCAACAGACGAATCTAATTAGAAAATCTGCTGTACAATCAAGGATCTTATCCCAAAAAAATCTAGGAACAAAAGCCTCTTTATCCGGACTTTCATATACTTTTTCTCCTTTTTTATTTCATGCATCCCTTAGACTGTCGTAAGATACCTTTCTGAAATGCTTCCTGGTCCAATGAACAAATCAAAAATCATTAAAATCAACTAGGAAAATTTGAAATAAGTGCTTGGCATTCCCTTACCTCAAGCTAAATCATTTCAAAAAGATATACAAGTAGATGGTTATGTACGTCTACTATCTAGGAAAAAGATATTGTGCAAAACAGTAATGCTTAACAGCATTGGTTTTCCACCTAGAAAATTTTAATTTCTCCATGTCATACTTTAAAACCAGACTTCTCTACAGGTGCAATTTCCATCTAAGAAGCATGGAGTACCCTACAGAGAGGTCGAGCTAAACCCTCATAGCATTTCCACACAATCATCCTTATTCCCTGAGTAACTTTGCCCAAAATCACAAGACCTTAGGCAATTCTCCAGACAAATGACAATGTACAGCAAACTCAGCTTGCTGAAGCTTAGTTAATAACTAAATCTTGTTAACCAGCGTTTGCCTCAATATAACTGTGAGAAGGCACGGGAGAAAATATGTTATTGATATTGGATGATAAATACAATACAAGAGCTCCCTATTTATAGTTATACACTACAAGGAGATATTACTCCTCTTCCAATGTGGGACAAGACTACACTATACATATTTGTAAACTAACGCTCCCCCTCAAGCCAGTGCATACACATCATATGTACCAAGCTTGTTACACATGTAACTAATACGAGAACCAGAAAGAGACTTGGTGAAAATATATGCTAGTTGATCATTCGACTTTACAAACTTTGTAACAATATCTCCTGAAAGT